ATTGAGTGCACTTTGTCAAAAGTTATTTTGCAAAATTTGCTATTATGCGCTCGATAACAATTTTATAACATTTTCTCCCAGCCCTCCCCTTCATTTTTTGCGTTTCGCAATTTATTGTGTTACATATATTATTATTGTGTACTGAAAAATGCATTTTTCATGACATAACAACGACCCGTTTGGCATTGGCAGCCCGAAATTGGGTTGCCTGCCTCCCATCGCCCATCTCGCCCGTCGCCCATTTTCCACTTCCCATATTCCATATACCATCCTCCCGGCGAAGGGAAAAGTTTTTGGGTTGAAAAATGGCTCTTGGCCTGGGCACGGGATTCTGGGTTGGTTGGCACTACTAGGGTCTTCCCGCTCCACGGCATGCGTATAAATTGTTTGCGACAGTAATTGGAACACAATGTTAAAGCATGAAATTTTAATTTGATTCTCGATCGAGCCCTTCGAGTTTATTCAGGCTTGTCCGCAGATAAAAAGTTGCCCCACTTCGAAGTTTACAGGGAGTCGTTAAGGAAAGTTGATTTGATTGAATGTATAAATATGAAAAAAGATATTCGGGTACTATCAATGGCGCTATTTGCTGCTTTACTATTTATTGAAAAAATGTTATAACAAGTTAAAGAGATATCTGTATGGTTTAAATATTAACAGAGGTGGAAATTGGTTGCATTTCCTTATTTATTTATTTATTTTACATGCTGAAAGAGAAAGTTAAAAGTTTCTAAGTAATGAAATACAACAAAAAATCTGAAATTAAATTAAATTAACAAAAGGAAATTATTGTCACACATCACAGATAAAATGATTTAGGATAAATTAATATATCTTGATTAATTGACTTTTATTTTTACCAGTTGTATTGCATTTTTTAAAATATGTTTGTTCTATTTATATTTTTTAGGAGTTGATAAATTTCAAACCATTTTATTATTTATTAGGAATTGATAAGAGATATATTTTTAAAAAATCGTTTAAGGACACTCAACAAATTTAAAATGCAATACCTTTTCAATGATTCGTCAATTTACTTTAAACTTTTCCATTTTTATAGTCTGTCATTTCTGGGTAAACTTGTCTGCAACTAGTTGTTGACTTCAATTTACCCGCTTGATTGTTTTCTGACGCTTCTTTGGCTTCCGTCTGTGGCCTTCTCGGCCATATGCCATTGCCTGAATGGGGCTTCCATCCACTCCGCCGTAATCGAATGGCATTCTTCGAGTCTTTCAGTTTCCAGGTAACCCACATGGCAAAATGCCAGTTGCCTGCTAGCCATTGTCTTGAGTTGGTCTGTCTGCCGACTTGACCTGGCATTCAGCTGCCATTGTTTGGGTCCATTCGGAAGTGGGCTTAAAGCTGGTCTTGAGTTTTACTAAATTTCTGTGCCCTAATCCAATTAATCACAAATCCCTTTTCAAATAGAAGGAGCTTGTAAGCCGCTTGGCATTATCAATCAATTTCGAATAAGTATTTATCGGACATGCTTATCCATTTCACATGCGAAAAGTTCTAAAATTCGATTAAAATCCAGAACGCAGATAAAAGCCAAAACGGCAGCAACATCGAAATTCGCATCATTAATTTTTTTGCAGCTAAAAATTTATGGCCTATGATTATGCACGGGGAAAAAACAGACAGGGGACAAAAGTGAAACATGGGAAAACCCATTTCTAACTTTCTTTTCCCTTTTGGAGAGGGGGGCTCGGTTTTCGCCTACCAATCATTATTCAATATGTTGACTTTTGTGCTTTCCACATTTGTTTCGCACCAAGCCACATAAGTCATGTTGTCGGTGGAAAGGCGGAAAATGGGTGAGGGCATGCAAAAGACAAAGAAAAATTTGTTCAAGTGGTTCGAGGGGAAAGCGCAGCGCGTCGATGTGGAAATTGTGATAGTGAAAGGAGGATGAAGGCAGCTCCCTTCCTTTTGCCCGAACAATGAACTGTGCGGCAACACTGTCGAAGTTGTTTAACTTTGCATTTGTCCGGGTCCTGGCTCCTGTTCCTTTTCGTCCTTCCCCATCCCCTTCCCCATACCCATTCCCTTTCCCCCATTTCCCAGAGCAGCAGCTTAGTGTAGCCTTTGATTAGGGCCACCTACAAGTGTCAGCTGGGCCAGTGAAAAGGATCCAGGTGCCGCTTCTCAGGTGGGAAATCACCGAACTTTAACTGGCAATTTAAAGTTTATTCGACGAGGCTTTAAAAGGATTTTTTTTAACCGGCGCAAAAATAAATCTCCATAAATCGGAATAATCTGCAATAATGGAATGCATTAGATTCATTTTATGTTTGCTCATCGCAAATGCAATTAAAAGTTGCGAAATTAAAAGCAAATACAAGGACCGAAAAATTTAATTACGCATATTAATGCAGCCATGGCGGAATGAAAAATTAAGACTATTCCCCCGCCGCTCTGTTTATATTTATTTATTTTCCGCTCTACCCGCCGGCCATTCGTTTGCCATCAATAAAGGCACCACAGATGGATGGATGGATGGCACACTGTTTTATTGTTTTTCACCCCTTCAATTATTGGGAAACTTGTCAATGAAAATGATTTTTCAAGTCGAGCTGGAAATGAAATAAAAATTCAAGCTGCAAATGAACTTGCGCCAATGAAATGGTTCAGTTTTCGGTTTTGTAAATTTAATTTGCGTTTGCCCAACTGGTTTTGCCTGGCGCTCGCCTCTATTGCCTGATGTTTTGCGGTTAACCAAAAATGTTCGTCTGCAACACATTTGCAGTTTTACAAAGCTCGACGAAATGATTTCATCCGAATTTCCCCCTTTGGTCTGTCCGTCTAACAATTTCCCGGGATCGTTTGCATTGTTGCGGTAAATTGGTAAAATTTACATACCATTGGCTTTTATTGTTTATGTATCGCTGCTATTATCATGAGTTTGCTGATGATGGCTTTAAAATTGCGGCGATTAAAATGGCAGTTGCTGTAAGCTCTCAACTTTTAGTTTTGCTTTTATTTTAATTGGTTTGCACAGCCCTCAAAATAACACTTATTATTGGCACATTCTAATTATTCAAGCGTTTATCAGGGCTTTTGCTTTGCTTGATTATTGATTTGTTCATTGGGTTGAAAGCAACTCAATCATTCGGTTAGAAAATCATTAAGAAGAGTAAAGAGGTAAAGTTTCAAAGCTGTTTTCATATTTATTGGCCAGATTAAGTTATTTTAAAGCCCAATTACATCCATTGTTTCGATTATCAAATCATTATTATTGAAAATCGGTTATTAAACAGCATTCCGATATGAATAAAAAGACCTCTAAGAAATTTATAATTCAAATAAATATAAGGGGTTAAATTTAGGTCTTTAAATGCGTTACCAAAGGAGGGATTATTAAAATCAGTTCTTAGTTGGAAAATATTATACGTAAGTAATAGATTCATTTATCATATATTGCGTATTTGTTTTTGTGAGCATAGAAGCAAAATTCTTGACTTGCTTTTCAAGGATTTGCTTTCGTTTTCTCACCCGGGCCATTTTAAAGGCCATAAACCAAAGACCACTTCACATTTTGACCATAAATAAGGGAGCGCACCGGCTTTTAAGTATTTCGCTGGGGAAACGCGCAGGAAGTGTGGAGAACTAGTGGCTGCTCCCTCTCGACAGCACCTGCCTTTAATGGTTTTCCCACCATATGCTTGATTTATATGGCAAAGAAAAGTCGAGAGACTTTCATTGCATCTGGTGCTGTGCGATAAGTTGACTCTTAGCCGACTTTGGTCAACCTTCGAGCTTCTGTTAACATACAATAGTCATGTAATAGTTTGTCAGAGCGTTTCGTTGTTGGCCTGGCATAATGACAGCTGGGCGACATGTCATGGGATACCAGAAGCGAGGGTATGGTTGCGAAGGTGGCCATATGCAGAGTCGCATATTGATGATGTGCGTCAAATGTCGCTGCTGTTGCTGTCAATTTTGTGGGCCACAATGGCGGGGGCTTCCCCTTTTTCCGCACTGCTTGTTTGTCAGTGTTTTCCCCATGGCAGCGGTTGCTTCATTTATGTTGCTCAGGGGTCGACTGTTGTTGTTGCTTTTGCTGTTATTGCTGATTTTACTGATGTTGCTGCTGTTGTTTGCCTCCATGGCTGCAGCTGATGCTGCCACTGCCACTGCCACTGTTGCAGCATGTTTGACAAATTGATCGCGTGATATGTTTGCCCAATGATGTCATTGTTGTGCGTGGTGGCCGCATAGTTGTTGCACCCACTGTTTGCCGTCGCACAAGCATATTCCGAGTTCCATTATTAGTTGGCACTGTATACAGTGGTCGCCACTGGGCCGCACCCCCTGTACATTGTGCACTCGAAATTGCTTTCGATGTAAATCGAAACCTTTGTGTCCGGCAAATAGCAAAGCCAAAGCGTTACAACTCCAAATTGGTAAGACCTTGTTGGACAACTTTGCAACGGAGTTTTGATTGGGCTCAGATTCGTTCCAGCCGTTCCACGTTTCTCCACTTCGCCAGCACCCTTTTCCAGATTCCACATGTGCATAATCGGGGGGACCACTCATTTCAGCCATGAGTGAGGGAGTCCTGGGAGTCCTGGCAACGTCAATTCGTTAACAGCTCCGTCAGCTTTGCTGCTAATTTTGTTTGCCTTGTGTCGCCACCCAAAACCCGGGCAGCCAGTCACAGTGCTGGGGGAAAGTATGCGCACGCTTTGACGAGTCCGAGTGGCATAGTCCCCTCCCCTCCCCCCCCCACTCAATGTCGTCTCTTTGTTTGCCCTGCACTCCAAACACTGCAGACAAAATGCTGTCGAAAATGTTGCCGCCTGATGTCTCTATCCTGTGTCCTCCAACCAGTTAATCCGCCTAACGTTATGCAACAAAGTTTTTGTGGAAAATTAATTAATTTCATGTGCAAACAGTCGTTAGGTTTTTCTCTTTCACCATATACCGCTTACCTTACTGTTTAATTGGCATAAAACATTTTTGCTGCTTTCCATTCTAATTAAATCTCCGTTTTGCAGATTCCTCTACAAATAGTACACATGTGCCAACCTGAAAGCTGAGCGGTTTCGGACGGGAAAAACGTCGAACAGGAATATACATACCAACGAATTCCGGGATAAGTGATGAAGTCATGAGACCGACATTCGATCGACGCCTCTGGATATTATTGTTCATTATTTCAGTACAATGTAAGTAGCCGACAGCAGAAAAAACTAAACCAAATCCTCAAACACCACCACCCCCCACCATACACACATATGTTTTTTATGTGTGTGCAGGATGTGGAAATGAATGGGCCAAGTGGCCTCGGCAGGCCAAGCAGCTCATATATTGCCGGGGCAGAGAGAATGGACCACTTTGTATGCCGGCAACGTGTGAAAAATAGTTCACAGATAATCGCAGTCAGGCAGGTCACATTATTTATGCGCCAGCACACCAGCTCACCCTCGTCCTTTGCCCACATCCACGTCCGCATCCTTGGGATCCGCTTCTCATCCCCATATCAGCTTGATATTCTATGCCACATGCAGCAAACAAAGCCATTTCTTTTATTTGATGTGCGTTTTGGGGGCCAAAATGGAGAAACGAAGCCGAAGAAAGCTGACCCTGGGCGTTTTCTGGTTTTTGGCATCCTACGGGCTACCAAAAACAGGTCCTGCATATCAATGGCAATTGTCTGTAAATAAGCAGAATTCAACGTCCCCCTCTGTGTTTTTTTTTATCTCTAATGCAATGAGTAATATGCCATTGTCAATGTCTATTAGGTACACGCGGCGTATGAGTAATATACGACATTGTGATTTAGTTTTGGGATGGCTTCACATATTTTTTTTGTTTGCCTAAACTGTATTCTGTTTCACTGCTGAAATCACAAATCTTTCTTATAATTATGTGTCATCTGCGTTTGACATGTGGCGTTTGAGTAATATGATATGATACAATACAATATTGGGGCTATGTAAACATGCGAAAATATTAATTGGAAGTGTCTTGAATACACAATCGATCTATGAAATATTAAAAAACAAGTAACAAAGGTGGAAACTGCATAAAGACTTACCAAAAAATTGTTTTTGTTTAAACAGAAATAAAATTCGATATTATTTGGATTTAAATTTGTTAATGTAAATAAAATGATAATAAAATAAATAAATTAATGCTAGTTTTGAGAAATATATATAATTGCATATTTTCCGAACTCTGGTCTTTTCTAAATTAAAGCGCTTCCAATTTTTCCCTTGTAGCGAATGAGCAATATTTGATTAAAGGAAATTACTTTTGCTAATCAAATCGGGAAATTCTATTAAAATCCCTAACAAGCTGTCGCATTCGATACAAATTTTATTGAGTATTCCCAACCGCTCACAACTTCATTCAGGACGGGGTCACTTCAAGGTTGCAATCAGCACTGCAAACACAGAGCCAAAACCGAACTGAAGTGGAAATTCAAGCACTCCCCCGCTGCAAAAGCCGAGAAAATGCCCGGCATTTTCCCCGACAGTTCACACACAGCGAACGGAAACGGAAATGCGCGTTCAAGAATTTTAATCTGCATGCGCAATTTCGCGTGTGAGCTGTATGCCAAAAATGGCGCGCACATGTCGGCCAACTGGCGACTGTGGCAGCACCACTCCAGTACCAGTACCCTGCACCACCCAAGCACCCACCCCCACCACATGCCCCACTGTGGTGCGCCTTGGAATTTCACGCGTTTATTTGCAAAGATTACGAAATGCGACCGGTTCCCGCTAAAGTTTTGTATGCGCTTCCTGCTGCCGGCGCTGCCTTTTCCATCTTGTCTGGCTGTGTGCGTGGCTTTTCCTTCCCCGATTTGCCCCGTTTTCCCATCCTTTTGGCCATTTTTTGCTCTGTTTGCTTGTCCGTCCGTCCGCTTCGCTGACTTGTTATGCATGCAAAAGTCTGTGGCAAATACACAGACCAGGCTACAGCTACAACAACCAACCCTTCGCCGTTCTCGCAGATGCGAGTGACATGCAAAATATTTTTGCATAAAAATGTTTGCCCACCAACACGGATCGTAGTCCTTGCCGCATCCTGGCAGCTGCATCTTACCCTTACTTTGATGTGAGCCGGGTAGAAATGTTAAATTTTAAAGCGTTTCAATTTCGCATTTTTGACACACGCAAGTTGGGCATGTAATTTTCCAGATATACTATACTGGCCTTCGTTTTTGGATACCCCCCTTCCCATCCCCTGGGACTTAATGTCCGGCATTTTATCTCATGTATTTCAGCGTACTGCGTTTGCTACGTGCTGGCCATGCTAAGGACCCTCGTCGCCGTTTGCCATTGCAAATACGAGGCGGCATCAGCGATGGAGCGTATTTCATATTTAATAAAGTGGGTGACATTTTATTAGGGGGCGTTGATGAAATCAGATGATGATCTGCCCCATTCCGTGGATTATTGACCTGTTTCATGGCACTTGCCGGTTATTAGTCTTGTCCCATGTTGTTTAATGCTATTTTTTATTACAATATCAAGTCGCCGCTTTGAAACAGACTGTACTTTGCCAGCTACTAAATATTTACTATTTGGGGCTCTACAGAAATATCATTAAACTAAATACCGTCATAAAAAACATTGTATTTCACTGAGGGACTTACGTTTCGTCAGAGTTAGCCCTTTAATATAAATGTTGAAAACAATATTTAGACGACCATTTTCGTAATATTCCTAACCTATATAGGTTATTAAATAATTATTGTCCGAATGTTCTTTAAAGCAAGTACATTCACTAAATACTTTATATTTAACTGAGAGATTTAAGATCAAAAATCGAACAACTTTAAAAATGAGAAATTCGAATACAGCTTTTTAAAGGTATGCCACTTTGTAATTGTCTTAAATTTGGTAGAGTTACGGACTCTAGAAGCCAAATTTAGGGTCACCCTTTTTTCCAGACAACGGAAACTTACAAAAGAAAAGAAAATGGATCAAAATATTGATCAACGTTAAGATTACAAATGTGAATGCAGATTCATATACATATAATCAAGCCACAAGTCCTAATAGGTGTGTCACTTTGAAATCGGATCGAATTTAGTAAGTGTATGGACTATAGAATTCTAATTGTGGGTCACCTTTTTACAAGTCATAATTAACATGAAAATGGTCCGTTTTTCCGATTGATTCTATTGTAAAAATAATCATTTTAACCATTAATTTTTTTCAATATTAAAGCTTTTCCCTTCTTGAATGTTGTGCATAAAGTAACCTACATTTACTCAGATCTTATTCCTGGGATAAAATTGTTACTTTTTAGCTGCTTAAATTTCTAGAGCTACCGATTTTCCAAGAGCACCGACCGCAAGCCATATTTCTTGGCCCGCAAATGGGGAAGACAGGGGAGGAGCAGCTCTTGAGGCTCTCGAAACTGCGGCACTGGTGATGGTGATGGGTTCGGGGGGAAAGCTGCCAAGTCGGCGACTTAGTTAGCCACTTTTCTTTCATTGAAAATGCGCCTTTTGTGCCTCAAGTGGCGCCCCCGACTTTTGTCTATTCGCTAACCAACTCCAACGTCGCCCCTGCCCCATTCCCTGGCGATCCTCCAATGGAAAGAAAAATAGAGCTGGCTGCAAGTTTATTTTAAAACTCGACTTTTGTACGCTTAAGTTTACTTTTGTGGGGGAATTACTTTTCGGTTATTTTTGTGGCCCAGTCATCGCCTGTTCTCCCCCGCCGACTGGCGAGTATCTCTTAGCTGATTGTCTTGTTGCTCGGGTGTCGATGCACAAGCTGCAGTGGGTGGTTTCGGATGGCCTTGCGGTGGGCGGCGGAGTTTATTATGTTGAAGTCGATGCTACTGCTACTGCTACTGCTACTGCTGCTGCTGTTTGCGCAAAATGCAATTATTAAAAGTTTTTCAAGTTGTCCGCTTCTTATACATTTATTTTTCCTTTCTCCGCCGCTTTTGTCGTCGTGCTCTAAAAATTATAGCCGGCGCCATTTTGCTGTCCATAGTTTTCGTCCTAACCTTCTACGCTGTCATCTTTTTTTTTTTTGCTGTTAAACATGGCATAGCAAATGTAGTCCATTGTAAAGTTTCGCATAAAGTTTTGCCTCAAAACTTTTCGTTAAAGACATGAGTGAAAAAATGTGGCAAGCGGCTCTTTAAGGACTGTTGTTTTAGCCGGAAATGTGCACGGATCGCGGAACGAGAGGCCAAAAATAGCTGAAAAGCGGAAACGCAGCTAACAATGAGAGCCGCAAAGGGCAGAAAACGCGAACTTCCGTTTAAAATTTCCTAACATTTCAAGCTCACTCCCTTGACCCCCGGGGAAAGCCCCTCCAAAGCCCCCTTCAAAAAACCATCGTGTGGTCAACACGTAACAGACGCTTCTGGGCTTCCTCTTCCTGTCCAGACCGACCAAAATTGGCCGCACACTAAATTGCACACCTGAGAATTAATGCGCCGGCCACTCGAAAGGCGTTTTCCGAAGCCCGGTCGGCGGTGAAAATGGTAAATGGAAATGGGAGCAGCAGTAGCAGTAGCAGGCCAACAAAAGGTGTGAAGGCCGAAAGCGTTGCAACCTGCAGTCGCCGACAAATGCAAAGTCAAATGCTTTTCACAGACAGACGGGAAGCCCGTTTAAAGTTGTTGCCAGTTGTTGGCTAACGCCTGCGGGCCTTTTTCTCTTTTGGCCAAGAGCGGACAGTGGGAACGCAAAGTTTTTGGCTAAATAAATAGTGAAATGATAATTCAATTAAAGATAAAATTGAGTAAAAAATGATATTCAAGATCAAAGTATTATATCTGGATACATATTTATTAGTTGTGTAAAGTTAAGTTCATTAAGAAACATTGTTCCATTATAATCTCTATTAAAATATTTAAATTTACAATTTCCACTTATTTAAAGTGCCACACAAGTTTCTTTTAAAATAGAGATTTAAATAAATGTATTAAAGTAAATCCAATTAGTTCGAGCAGGAGTATCACTATTTCATTATTTTCCCTTTGGAGCTATCTTTGTGCAATATCTCACATTAATGAAATATATATCACCTTTTTTAAGCCCTGGATGTGTCCGGACTTTATTGACCAACTGTATATTGTATAATTCCTTCTGCTTTTCGACTTCTTTCGTTTTCCCAGGCTCAGACAAAGTTGCCGTCCCATCCGCTCGGCTTTTCTTTTGCTCGCCCTTTGCTGGTAAAAGCAAGTGAAAATAAATTAAGTGGAAGTAAGTCGTAACGAAGTGATACATAATTCTTTGTACTTCTCTCTTTTTTTGGCTGCTCCTTCCTCCTTTTGCTCCTTGGCGCCGTTTTCTTTGTGTGCTTTAACAATTGAGTGCAAGTTTTGTGTGAGGAAGGAAAATCGAATTGCTTTAAGCTAGCGAATTTCCCAAGGTCCATGGCTTTAAGGATGTTAATTAGCAGCACTATTAGCTGTAGTGGAATTCCTGAAATGACCAAGTTAAGCCAAGCTGGGAAAAGTCGGTCGCTCCGCCTAACGGTAACCTAATATACCGTAATTTGGCTTTAACGACCCAGTGGCGATGCCCGAAGAGGTCTTCACTTGGCGTCTAAATAGCCTAAATAACTTAATATCAACCTGAAACGCTGTGATTGAGAGGTGGCGCCCAACGAATTTCGGGCTACCTTTTCCAGCTTATTGCTACTTAACTAAGCCAACGATATCATTTTATTACACGGCCCTTGGCCAGGACTGCCAACTTGCCAAGCTGGAAATTTCACTTTCCACGGAGCGTGGCTTTAACAGGACACAATCTCACCTTTCAGGGGAACATAACCTCGCCCAGCCCCTCCGCCCCCCCCATACTTATTTCCTCCCAGAGGCCATTAACGTGTTTCGTTTCATTTAACTTTTACGCTCTGCTACCCCCCGAAGTCCCCGCCCAGAAGTCCCGCTATTTAGCACAGGTCCAGAGTTTTCCGAGCACCCCGTCCCCCGAGTTTTTGTCCGGGAAACGAAACTTTTACCTGCTGCACGCTTGACCCCCCAATGTCGGTCTGTGGGTGGATGGTGGGTGGTGGGTGGGGGGTGTCAGCGTTAGATGTGACCTTCGGCGCTGACAGCAGCCGTCATTAACCTTTCATGACGAGGGAGCCGAGCCGGAGCACCGAGAACAATCAAGCGGAACAGGTGGGACCTCCGGAAGTTGACAACAACGAGAACGACAAAAATCGAGGCAACAACCAAAGTGAAACCGAAACTTTGTCGAGTGTTTGAGACAATGTTGTAGTAGTACGTCCTGTGTAGCACTGTTCAACTTTGACTGTTGCGGACTGTTTCGGGTTTTCTTGCAGCTAGGTAATTTAGCTTTAATGCGTCTGGCGTTGTGACAGTTTCTCTCCGGGCTCTGACCCAGTTATTTTGGGCCTGGCATTTTTGTTTAACTAACCGCATGCCACGCCCACGCCACCGCAGTTGCATATAATTTGGCAACCGCAGTTGCTGGCTGCCTGCTTTGCATTTGGCATTTGGCATTTGGCGGGTGAAATGTGTTTGCCAAGCGAATTTGGGTTGTCGCAAATAGCGAAATTGGGGACACCGAAAAAGTGCAGCATGCTTGCCAGAGCAAATAGATGTACTCAAATATGGAGCATGTAAGCTGTAACCCCCAAGGTCGCCAATTGCAGATATACCAGTTATAGAGAAAATGCTTTAAAAAAGCTTTTATGCGGCCTGCATTGTAAAGCATCCGCATACACTGAACGGGAATCGTTACGCGGTCAAAAGTTGTACGAAAAAGATAGATGAAAAAATACACTTGAAGATTTTTGCTTATCATTGATCTCAAAAACCTTTGGAAAATCTTGAACAAGTTATATTAGGATGTTATAGAAATTCAAAGGGTTTCTCTCTTTTTACAATAAATTATACAAAAATGTTTTTAAAGGTCAGAAGTGTCAGGTATTAATTAAGAAATACCACGTTTTCTATTTAAATACATCTTTAGATGCCTTAACATGTCCTTTCGAAAGCTTTGCGATTTCTGTGGTATCACCACATCACTGATACTGATTGGAAATATTGCCACTGAAATCACCTGAGTATTAAAATCACTTCAAAAGCTGTATAAAAGAATGTAGAGTCCCACGAACTTCTCAACCTAAACAAACTCTAATTTAATATCTAAGCCAAAGTGATTTTTGTGGCACCCTCCAGAATAGAAGTCGTTTGCAGAGTCAGTGCTCTAAATCGCGAAATAAGTATCTGGCAGCTTTGAAAGAGTAATATTATTTTTCGAACAAAGTTTAATTTCGTAATGGATCTTGCTACCAGTTTAGAGGAGAGCACAGTTATTCCTTACTTTGGCTTTAATTCTCAGTGCAATGTCCTGGCAAAATCCAAGGGCACACGGACGGCACTCAGCATCGCATTCGGATGCATTCCTTACGGAAAATCAATAACCATTGCATAGTGCCACGTGTGAAAGGACCCCAACCCCTAATGCCATTCAGCAGAGCCAGGACAACTGTCGCTGCATAATCATAATCGTAACCATGATGAAGCAGCGTCGGTGACGACAACGGCAACGACAATGTCGACTGACTGCCCTCGAGTGTTTTATCCTTGACAAATCCTTGTGCAACAATCAGCAGCAACAGCAATAGCAACGGAAAAAAGAACCTTGTGGAAATGTTACAAGAGCAATGGAGCTGGGTAGCAGAACAGTTGACAATGGCAAATGCGCAGCAAAACGTCTAAATGAGGCCGAGCCTGGGTAGAAACTCGACTCGCCGGCTGAATGAGTAAACTCCACTCGTTAAGCTCTCCCATCTACCATTTGGCCACCTTGCCGGCTGGTAGCCGCAAATCGGGGCTAGAAGACACGCTTCCACCCACCGGAGGCCTTGGCATGATGGATGACAATAAACAAGACAAGCGGGCACAATTGTTTGCCGGCCCTTCCAACTCGCTCTTTATCAGGATTGTTCCCCACAAAGTCTGTACTTAGCGGGTCTGTTGGCATTTCCTCGACCAAACAATAGTGGTGTATCCGCCGACGATGAAGCCAGTCTTAAACAGCTTTAATGCCTTAGCCTTGAATCCAAGCAGGCTCAAGGAATAACATTAATCAGCCAAGAATACGTTTTTGATTTTATTTTAGTATGGCGAGTTCTTGATGCTTTTTTGTTTCACTGTTTCCCGCACTTTTAGATTACTTGTTTAGTTTTCGTATGGAACTTTATATATTCTGGTGTAGTAAATAATAAAATTAGAACAAAGCCATGAACACGCCTTCATCCTGGGACACCATCTCTCACATCTTCGTAAGCTTTCACTTTTTGAAAGGATTTACCAGGAATTTTCCCCTATTTGTCGTCATTTGCCTCGCAATTGCCATCCTTATTTTTTTTACTCAGATCAGCACATTTTTGCTTAAACTCGGCCACTTCACATTTTTTCTTTTTCTCGGCTTCATCACATTTTTTCTTTTTTTCGGCTTCCTCACATTTTTTCTTTTCTTCGGCTTCCACACATTTTTTCTTTATCTCAGCCTCTTCACATTTTTTCTTTTTCTCGGCTTCTTCACATTTCTTTTTCTTGTTAGCTTCTTCACACTTTTTCTTTTGTGCGGCTTCTTGGCATTTCTTCTTTATTTTAGCTTCTTCACATTTCTTCTTGGCCGCTGCCTCTTCACATTTCTTCTTGGCTGCTGCTTCTTCGCATTTCTTATTTGCCGCTGCTTCTTCACATTTCTTCTTGGCCGCTGCTTCTTCACATTTCTTCTTGGCCGCCGCTTCTTCACATTTCTTTTTGGCTACTGCTTCTTCACATTTCTTTTTTGCCGCAGCTTCTTCACATTTCTTCTGGGCCGCTGCTTCTTCGCATTTATTCTTGGGCGCTGCTTTATCACATTTCTTCTTTGCCGCTGCCTCTTCACATTTCTTCTTGGCCGCTGCCCCTTCACATTTCTTTTTTGCCGCAGCTTCTTCACATTTCTTCTTGGCCGCTGCTTCCTCACATTTCTTTTTACGCTCGGCCTCTTCACATTTCTTTTTACGCTCGGCCTCTTCACATTTCTTTTTACGCTCGGCCTCTTCACATTTCTTCTTACGCTCGGCTTCTTCGCATTTCTTGATGGCGGCTGCTTCTTCGCATTTCTTCTTGGCCGCTGCTTCTTCACATTTTTTCTTACGCTCGGCTTCTTGACATTTCTTTATGCTTTCTTCTTCTTCACGTTTCTTCTGAAGCTCGGCTTCCTCGCGCTGCTTTTTGCACTTGGCTTTTATTTCTTGAAGTATTCGCTTGAGCTCGGCTTCTTCTTGGGCCTTTTTCTTCTCGGCCTTACTCATTTTACCGTTTGCGACTTCTTCTTCGACCTTCTCACAATCCATTGGCTTTCCCTCTTTTTTCTCCTTTTGCTTCTTGGCAGCCTCTGCAGCGGCGATTTCCTTGGCGTACTTTTGTTTGCAAACCATATCCTGGGCGTGAACGGCGCAGGCTTTCCTTATTCCAGCCAGCATGCAATTCAATAGACTATCTATGGATTTGGGATCATTCTGTTGTTTTGAGGACCTCAATTCCTCGCAGAGGGCCTTGTATTGCTTTTGCTCGCAGTCCTTCTTCTGAGAGGCTAACATGCAACTGTGCTTTAACTCCTCAACGACTTCGTCGAGATTTGGAACAGATGATTCCGTTTGCACAACGGCCTGACCTTCAGCTTCTGCTGCCTTTTTTTTCTGTTCGAGTAAGTGCTTTCGTTTCCTGCATATCCTTGAGCATTTGGGAGGATCTGGTTTTGGCAAGGGCTCAAAAACACAGTCCTCGTCCTCGCCCTTTTTGTCATGACATTCATCCTCTTCGCTCTTTTTGCTTTGACATTCATCCTCTTTGACCTTTTTGGAAAAAGATCGTTGGTGATTAAGGTATATGGGATCCGGAGAAATGACCGATCCAGATGGTTTTAGCTGCGAAAGGTACAACAGACATCCGTTGACTTTGTCCCAGAACATAGATATCCGGACTCTACGTCTTCCCTTGATCAAAACTGCTCTTGAGTAAGTCGAACATGGACCACCATCGCACTTGGAATCAGCCTCTTTTGACAGATCCTTACACTTCTTCTCCTCCATGAATTTTCTTCGCTTTTGAATCCTTAGCTGGCAATCAGCTGGTTGGGGAATTTTCATTTCGGGCGGCTTATCTCCTTCGATACAGGGATTCTTTTTATAGGATATGCAATTTGACTTCTTTTGCTTCTTTCGGTAACCACATCCATCGTTTTCATTGGATTTGCTGCTAAGCACTCGTGGGTGACCGAGGTAAACGGATACGGAATGCAAATTAGTATGTGACTTTAAAAACAATCGGTTCCATCTGGGCTGCTTTAGCTGGTACACGAGAGATCGTGAGAGATGACGTCCCATCGTCGCCATATCTTAAAACGGAATTTTTAAAATTAAGAACATAAAATTTCGAAAGGATAGGCTCAGGAATAAGGTTTAAACCAAATGCACAGTTTTACAAATTTACCGTGGACTACTTGAGAAATTTTTTTAAAAATATATGAAACCACGCAACCCATTGGGTGGAGAATTATAAAAGAATCAGTGTGTCCATGTGATTAATTAGAAGGTCAGAACCAAGTTATTATTATTTGAAAAAAAAAAAACTCAAATTTAGGTATCTCCAAAGAAAATAGCCTAATTACACGTATTATGGAGGTAACAATTAAGTAGCAACTTGGTGCAAGAGTATTGTAGCCCTCGAGGGATTTTAAGTTTCTTGTCCCGATTTCTCGCGAAAGTAGGCTGCGATTTGGATTTCCTCGGGTTGTTCCACACCTGGCTCCTGGCCGACATAATAAAGCAATTAAAGTTTTACACGCCGCCCACCCATTTCACATTTTCGCCCTCTCGAATCAACAATGAAATGAGCATTTCCCCGTACACATGTGCGCAATTAAAATGTAAACGTGTCAAACTCGGGCAGAGCTTTCGCTTAAAAATTAACAGCGACACTGCCGAACAAGTTGCAGAAATTAATGACAACATAAAGGAATTTAAATACGCAATGAGCTCGGTGGGTTGTATGCGTAGGAGGGGAGGGGGTTTGAAGGTAGGGTTATGTGTGCCTTCACACTCGTAATTGCGGTGCAAGTTCGTACTGCCAGTGTGTGTGGCAGAAAGTTAAAGCACACTCATGTGCGACAGTGTTGCCTGGTAGGCCGACTCGAACTCACCTGTCTGCTGTGTTGTCTGCTTGGCGGCGCATGAAGTGAAAATTAATTTCTAAATGCGGGAAATTAACAAATTACAAACAACGCAATGAGGGGGAGTGTATGGGCTGGCGGTCGGAAGTAGACATGCCATAATTCACCGCACACCACCCACCGCCTTCCACACATGGAAGCTCCTGTATAGACTGCAAAGTTAGCCGAGCAACTTCCTTATGGGGGTGGTGAGGGGACGAAGTAGGTGGAAGCTCCTGCAAGGTGTTGAAGCACAGGTGAGGCACATTGTCTCTTGCCTTCGCTGGAGGCCTCGCCCTACACCTCAACCTTTTACCACCATCCCGCATTCTTACTTCAACTCACAAACACTCCCCGCCGCTGACAGTTGACAGGTTTGCTAATTTCAAGCAGTCCCCGAAAATGAAGTTAGCGTCTGTCAGCGTCTTTCCGGGTGATAACGGCATTCCCAGCCTTCGGAAAAACCCACCACCCCCAACCCCACTGGCAACCCCTTCGTATTCACACCTTTGGCAGCCACAGACGCGCTGTGGTCGCGCTTTTAACATTTAATTAAGTTGTGCTCGATTTTATGTTCGACAAAAGTGTTTGTCTGCCGTTGACTCTTTCGATGGGATGTGTGTGTGTAACTATGTCGTGGTTGTGGCTCTGCTGCGCTGTTGTCATTTCTGAGGTTTGTGCAAAGATTGCCAAATTGTTGACGCTGGCAGGGCGAACCCTTCCATTGTGTCATTTCTACCCCCTCATGGACTTGCTTCAGTGCCACTTAGGAAAAGAGACCACAACGGGCTTACTTTTGCAACTTACTTGCCTCAACTAAAGCTTAAAATCAATCAAAAGATCCTACAGTGATATTGGAGAGCAATTAATAAATGTTCGTCAAGGAATTACGTTTTTTTAACAATCACTTTTAACATTCACTTTCTTAAAAGTCAATTGATAACCAAAAAAATGGTTTGAGGAAGCTCACAATAAAGACTTTGAAATCTTTTATTGAGATATATGGGGAGAAGCACAAACTAACTAATCTATATCCAACAAGTATGGGACTAGTTTGTCTTTTGAAATTGCAACCCAATAATAATACAATAATAATACAATTTTTTAACAGAGTATACTTTTCGTTTTCCATAAACTTAATAATTATGTTAATTTTTGGACCCAGAAAATACAAATTTTAAGCGAATTCTTTTATTAAAATTGGGACAAACTAAATTTTTTAGTTTTAAGGAAGAGTGTCGTGGGGGCGTATATTTTTAGCAATGTGCTCTAGATTTACAAGCTGTCTGCTCACACGGATGTCCGGTCCTCAGAGCCGGGGAACCGTGACCATCGTGTTCAAGTGGCAGCTGCGCAACTACAGCGATCCACCTCTCATGGATTGCGATGCTTATAAGGCGTACAAGGAGCAAAAGGCACTAGCATTGAAGAAAAAGAAGGAGGCCAAAATGAAGGAGGCGGCCAAGAAGGCCGCCGCCTGCCTCAAAAGCGAGTTGAACAAGTGCATCAAGGAGAAGGAGAAGGCGCTAATAGCGAAAGTGGAGTGCATGACAGCGGAGGAGAAGAAGGCCATGGGCGACATGCTGGACTGCGTGATGGCGGGCGTCAGGGAAATCTGCTTCAAGTCAGTGCTGCAAAAGTACTGCAAGGAGCAGGAGCTGAAGCACCGCTACGAGAGACTGATCAAAGAGAAAAAGATCAAGGAGATAATGAAGAAGTGTCCTGCCAAAAAGGGGGAAAGCTCAGAGGAGGAGTGCAAGGACCCCAAAGCGGAGCAGACCGAAAAAGAGAAGGCAGCTATCGCACAACAGTGTGAAGACCCAGAACGGTTCCAGAAGTGCATAGATGAGACTACCAAGCTGCTGAAAGCCGAGTTGGAGAAATGTGAGTGCCAGGAAGATCAGCAAGAGGAAGAATGCTCCGAGAACGAAAACGATAATTGCGAAGATAAGCCCAAGAACAAGGGAGTACAGCTCCGTGTAAAAGGTATTAGACAGTCTCCCAAAAAGAAAGACGATTCCGAGAAGCAGGAGGTTCCCACATTGGATAGTTGTAAGGAAGTGCCAAAGGATAAATGTGAAGATCCTGTGAAAAAAGCAGAAGAGTCTTGTGACAAGAAAGAAAAACCTAAAGCAGATGTATGCCCACAGGATGCTAAAGAGAAAAATGAATGCCCAGAGGAGAAAGAAGAATCTGCGGATCAGGTGTGCCCAGAGAAGCCAAAAAAGGATACCAAATGTCCAACAGATCCTAAAGTTTCGAAGGGGAAGACCAAATCTCCATTCGAGCAGAAGATGGAAGATTGCATGAAGGAAGAGTGGAAAGACATATGTGAAGCCCAGAAACTATCAAGTCCCAAAGAGAAAAAGAAAGTAGCTGCTGTGGAGGATTGTCTGAAGCAGGAAATCAAGAAAAGGTGCCGCTCAATGGTCATCACTAAAATGTGTGCTGACTCCTGGGGAGAACCAGAAAAGGAGAATAAGTGTGAACAGCAGAAAGAACCAGAAGAAAATCCGTCTAATTGCGAGGACACCAAGGACTCTAAAAAAGCAAAGTTCCAAAAGTGCGTGGAGAAAAAATGGAAGGACAATTGTCCAAGTATTGAAGATCTTACGGAAAAGAATAATGTGGATTTTTGCGAAGTTTCCGAGGAAGTGAAGAAAATTATGCTGCAAATATGCGAAGAGGACGCAAAAAATAAAGAGTGCGAAATTAAGGAACTGGAAGAAAATATCGAAAGGTGTGCGTTTCTAAAAAAATGCGCAGACGCAAGGCTCAAAAGAAAGTGCGATGAAGAAGAAAAGATGAAAAAGTGCGAGGAAGAGGCAAGAATAAAAAAATGCGAGGAAGAAGAGAGAAATAGAATATGCGAAGAGCTGAAGAAAAAACAATGCGAGATAAAGAAAATGGAGGATGAGCTAAAAGAACAATGCGAAAAGAAAGAGAGCGCTGAGGAATTGAAGAAGAAGTGCGAAGAGGAAGCCCGAAGAAAAAAATGCGAAGAGTTTAAGAAAAAACATGAAGAGCTAATAAAAAACGAGGAGTTAAAGAAAAAAGAAGACGAGTCAAGGCCTAAATGCGAAGAGAAAGATCCTGTTAAAAAATGCGAAGAGGAGGCCCTCAAGAAAAAATGCGAAGAAGAAGCGCTAAAGAAAAAATGCGAAATGGAAGAGCATCTAAGAAAATGCGAAGAGGAGGCTCAAAAGAAAAAATGTGAAGAGGAAGCTCTGAAGAAAAAATGTGACGCACTGAAGAAAAAACTCGGAGAGCTAAAGAAAGAAGAGAAAGATCTGAATACAAAGCTTGAAGATATGTTGAAAAAAGAGGAACTGAAAAAGCAACAAGAGGAGGAAGAACAGAAAAAGAAATGTGAAGAAGATAAGGTTCTAAAAGAATGTGATAAATTCGATCAGAAGGAAAAATGCAATAACCAAGGAGCAGTCGACAAAGACACACCCCCCAAAGGAAAATCTGCAAAATAAATCCTAAGTCCTAGAAGTAAAGCAGAGAGACTCATCAGACAAGACATCACTGCTGGAAATGATCAGTCAGTGGGATTTGATCAGAAGATTAACTGCAGTTCTACAAAGTAAAGGGATTCACAGCTCGGTCACAGGCAAGATGACACATATGGTTTGGAGGACGACGGCGATCGTCAAGGCCCCGTGTCATCCAGTTGTGGCAGCTCTTTCCACATTATTCCATATTCGAAGAAAAGGCGACTGCACCAACTGGGCGGTCGTTTTTGCGATCGCCACCGTGGTCTTGGTCATTTAAAACGACATCAGTGGAATGCTGTCGGTCTCGTTAAAATCCTGTGACATAAATGTGCTGAAACCTATCCTTTAATGACGTCCTCCTGTTTGTTGAGTGTCCAGGCCATCAGCGTCATTGCATGCCCCGCAATTGGCAACTGGTTAATTCGGCGATGATTTATCCAGAAACCAGAATGTTTTTCACCTTTAAAGCTGTCATGAATTTCCTTTCACTTTACTTAGTTTTATAATAAAATCTTCAGTGACTGCCCCCACGTAAACTTGGCCTTAGTTTTAATTAGCAACCATCCAAAATTTCATTGGCAATCGCAGCGCCTTCGAGGATTGGTCCGCAGCACTCGAGGTCCTTGGAATGTTTCGCAGGTGCATAAGTTCGCAATTACATTTTTTGCTGGTCTGTCCTCGGCCAAGACCCTTCGTCCAGGCCTGGGCAAAGTTTAAGAGCAATGACTCTCACTCCAGCCGAAAGACTTTGCTTAACTCGTTCTCGTTCGATCCTCCGATGTCCTGCGACATTCTTACCAGCGATCTGACCTCGCCGTGTTCCCCAGCTTCGATTAAACAAGTTCATCAAAAGGTCTGCATTGTGGGCCAAGATCGCACTTTTAAAATCAGTGGATACAGTGAGCCTGGAGATGTCTTTCCGATTAACTGGAAAGGCAGAAAATACCACAAGAAAACTGGCAGTGACAAAATGAATTCTTGTATGGATAAAAGCGGCAGTCGATATCGACCTCGGTATGGAAAGCGAAGATCCGACAGAAAAACGGTCCAACGTCTGCAGGAGCTAATGAACGATGGTGTAGACGGAGTAAGAAAAATTGAAGGGAAAAAGGAAGGAACAAGGATGGTAATGCAGATAAAGAAGTCCAAAAAAAGTAAAGACTCAAGGAATCGACCGGCCAGTTCGAATTCAGAGGAAAACGAGGATAACGAGAGCGAGCCACCAAAGAATTCAATCAAAGATTTCCTCTCCATGCTCTTGGCAAAGAGTAAAAAAGTAAGGCAACAGTTAGAGGAGGGCAAACAAGCAGACCTAAAAAGATGTAATCCGGGAAAACCGCCAAGAGTTCAGCGCTACAAGAATAATTATTATAGAAAAAATATGCAGACAAAGCCAAAGCCGCAACATCGCAAAGTAGATAAGAAAGATCAACCCGCAGCCACGCTTCTTCAGAGCATTTTTCCAGAAGATTCCGCTGGTTCACTGAAAGAAGAGGGGATTCTGTTAGGTGAGGTAGTTTCGGTCCAAATGGAAAATTCGAATTCGAAATCCGGTGATGTTGGAAAAGCAATTGGTGGCCCAGAAGAACCTTTAAAGCACTCGTCAAAACCACATTCGCTAGAAGTAATGAGGGATCGTGAAGAGCAGCTGATTAGTAGCGCCAAGAAGGAAACCGACTGCCGACTGCAATCTTTGAGAATATCCACAACCTTGGAACCCCCATCTTCGTTGTCAACCCCAGACAAGGAGAAAAATATTTTTAAACAAGAAGTAAGTCAGGACCATCCAAAAAATATATGTGAAGACAGCAATGTACCACTGATGCCTTCAACTTCTTCAGAACAAAAACAGAAGATCAGCGAGGAGCAAAGTACCCACAAGTCGGGTTCCCACGAAGAAATAAAAACTGAAAGCAAGTCAGAGATAAAAGTATTTAATAAATGTTCAGATTACCCTCCCTCGGATGATCAAAAACCCAACATATTTAAAAACCAGATTCACAAGCATCTGTGGGAACACCCTGAAAATCATTCAAAAAAGGAAGTGCATATCTTGGACCTGTGTAAACAGAAATCCGTTTCTTGCAAAAAAAAAGAAATTGAAGGGTCATCAGACATAAAAAAGACTAGTCCAGGTTCAAGTTCCCCAAATTTCGACGATCAATCAAACAGCAAGAGCTTGCATAACCTAGTCAAAAACGAGATCCATAAAAATCTATGGAATATCCCAGAAAAAGATTCGATTAAATGCGAAAACGAACCGGGACAAAATAATACAGATTGCTCAGTTTGTTTTGGACTGTTAAATGATAGAGATAAGCTCAAATTTCAAATAGCAGAATTTATAGCAAAGTGTACGTACCTGGTAGAGAAAGTAGAGCCGAAGTCGGGATCTAAAAATACATGCGAATCGGAAGAGGGAGAAAAAGACAAAGAAGTCGCTAACTTAGTTGATAATTTTTGGAGGCATTATCTGCAGTATCGTACGAATCAAAACCAAACCTGTGAGCCCGATAAAAGCACTATTAGGAAGTTGGGTCATTCGTGTTTGAAAAGCCCCGAAGATTGCATAATGGACCATGTCGAGACTATTATAAAGCAGTGCAAAAGTATACAAAAAGCAATTAAAGGAAGTGGTCTCGAAAAAAAATACAGCAAAGCAAATCTAAAAGAAAAGCGTGTTGAAGGAGAACTAAAAAGAAAAAACACTGATACTGAAAATGAACTGAAAAGAAAAGGCTCCAACGAATTGGTCAAGAAAGACTGTCAACCAAACGAACATTGCGTTGAAGGCATACTCAAAAAGATGTGTGTAGAAAAATACGAAAAGGACTATTTAAAGAAAATGTCACTTTTAATAGAACAATTGCAAAAAAAGGTAGAAGACGACAAGCCGAAGAGAAAATGTAGGAAGTATGATCAAAAAAGAAAATGCTCTAAAGAGGAACTAAAAAGAAATGCGAGGAATATTATTTAAAGAAAAAATGTGAAAAAGAAGAATTAAAAAAGAAAGAGGCAAGAGAACAATTAAAAGAGAAATGTGCATTAGAAGAATTAAAAACGAAATGTGCATTAGAAGAATTGAAAAAGAAATGTGCAGAAGAAAAATTAATAGAGAAATGTGAAAAAGAAGTATTAAAAAACAAATGTGCATTAGAAGAATTAAAAACGAAATCTGCATTAGAAGAATTAAAAAAGAAATGTGCAGAAGAAAAATTAAGAGAGAAATGTAAAAAAGAAGAATTAAAAAAGAAATGCGCAGAAGAAGAATTAAGAGCGAAATGTGCCAAGGAAGAATTAAAGAATAACTGTGCAGAAGAAGAATTAGAGGAAAACTGTGCAGAAGGAGAAATAGAGGAGACATGTGCAGAAGAACTAAAGGAAAAATGTGCAGAAGAACTAAAGGAAAAATGTGCAAATAAAGATGTGCAATTAAAGGACAAATGTGCCGAAGATAAACTAAAGAAAAAATGTGCAAAAGAATTTAAGGAGAAATGTGCTGACGAAGAATTTATGGATAACTGTGCAGAAAAAGAGTTAAAGAAATGTGCAGAGCGGGAGTTTAAGAAAAAATGTGCAAGGTATGAGCAGGAAAGAAAATGTAAAGAATTTTCTTTAAGAAAGAGATGTGCTGAATTTGCATTGAAAAAAAAATGCGAAGAACTTCGAAGTAAAATTACAAACGATGATCATACGATAAGAAATAATGGCGTAAACGGAAAAGGTTCCAAGGGCAATAAGCATAAAGATAAGTCTATATCAGGTGAGTCGCAAAAAAAACTTACCATGTCTGAACTTAGGAAATGGCGTGAGGCGATCGACCGACGAAAGAAAACCATCGACGAAGAAATAAAAAACTGGAGTAAGAAGGACGAAATAAAGAGATGGCTTAACTTGCGGAGCAAAAAGAAACAGATTCGCACCAAAAGCCCTGATGACTGCCAGAAAATAAGTGCGATGCGAAACGAGGAACTGAGTAGTATCCCGCCGAATGGGGAAAAATTGGAGTTCCAAGAGTTGGGCATATTCCTGAGATCTCCCTTGTCAAGTCCTGGGCGAAGACCACTTCGAGGGTTGGAGCACGGTCTTATTGATCCTTTCCCTGCACAGGGAAGGAAGTTGAAGTTATTCCACCCCCGCCAGTGGCCTTTGTTTCCAGGATATGCCTCAGTGTACAACCCCATCTCACGGCGAACTCCATTGCTAGAGTCCAACTTCTTCCTGCGCCGGCTGCTGCCCGATTTGAAACCACTGAGCATCAACGATACGCTGGGGGTTTACTGGCTCAATCGAATAACCCCTTCTTCCGCTTTCGGTAAAAGGGGCTACACCAGGGACGAGCCTGAAAAAGGTTCGTCCTTGTTGTAGCCCTTTTCTACAGTAGCTAAAAGGAATCCCAAAAAAGGGTTTGAGTAAAAGTCTAAAGGAAAGTGCGGAACAATCCAAATGAGGTGCCGCTGTGTGATGATGCCAACACTAAATTAATATATATATCATTTACCATTTTAAAGACCCTAATAGCAAATAAAACGTGCAATATTTTTTAGTGAAATATAAATATTATTCTAAGTAACAGGACTTTTTTTAATCAATTCTTACTTAAATTAAATTCAAACTTATCTTAGGAAAATAGTTCCACATTGCCTACAAATTGGAAATTCATACCCGCTTTCTAATATTGCTTCATGAATAAATATAATGCTTGGACACATATGCCGTGTATTTACTTACGAGTATTTCTCTGCCAGAATGGCTAAGGCAAACAAAATGGACAGCTCACAATATTGATGGCTGTGTTGTGTTATTGATGAAATAATGAATTTGCCACCGCACAGACCCACAGACATCAGATAATATGCTCAATGTCTGTCATTGCCTTGGTTATGAATTTTCCGACATGATAGCGAAACTTATCGGCCAGCTTGAGGTGATAGCCTTGTGTTTGATCAGGGAAAATGGGGAGGACGGGGTGGTCGCTTATTTGGTTTTCATTTCGTATTGATTCACAGTTAGTCCTGGCTTTTCCCATGGCCAAAAGCAAATTTGCAGACGCCTGTGACCCATCATCAACAGCCATCCGTTTAAATTATTAACGTATGAGTAATTTTTATGACATATAAACAAAAGTCTGAGCTGGGGCCACGGCTCACAGGATCCTTGTTATTTTGGCTCCTGCCCCATGCCACTGCTCCAGCTCCAATTTCTGCTATATGTCATGTGTCGTCTATCGTCTCGTTTTGGGTTTTCCATTTCCCAGACGACCGAGTCCCATGTGGCGTTTTTTGGGGAGTGGTTTTTGTGTGCGACAAATGAGTTGTGTGTAATTAAGTTCGGGATGCTTTTGCTCACAAAGCAGTCTCCATGTTGCCCGGGGAATTCAAGCCGAAAATGGTTGTGATAAGCTAACTCCATTAATGCTCTAGCCTAAGCTATTTTTACCTCAAAACATTCCTACTTATTCAAACTTTAATTAACACTTCTTGTATTTATTTTCTCTCTTTTTAGGTAAGTGCCTTTCTGCCGTTTTTTTTTTGCGTAAGTCCAAGAACCAAACTCAATCACTAATCATGGCAAAGAGCCGCCCACAGCCGCAAAACTTTCGGTCAAAGCTCGAGCCTTTAATTTGAAAACTTTGGCATATCCAAAAATAAAATTTATATATATGTGCGAGTAAAGTGCACACAAAACCAGGGACCAAACAATTCGAACACTGCATTCCACGCAATGGACGGGCCAAAAATCAAAGCATATTTTCCGGCGTGCCCGACGCAACCGCTAGACTCCGTCCGGCAAACCCATTCCAGCCCGGCTGGCCACATAGTTTAAGCAAACTTTTTTGTTTGAAAGCGTAGAACGTGCAGCGCGAAAAAAAATAATCATAAAAAAAGGAAGAATCCACTATTACATTAAAACAGAAAAATAATTGCAAAAATTTCTCTCCAACTTTTTCAACTTTCTCTGCGTTTTGCCGGGCCCTTTTATTTTTTCCAGCCGCGCCTCTTGTTGTTTTTTGGTCTTTGAGTAGCAGGCAAATTTCTGTTGCCATTTGCCACGCCTCAATGGGGAACTTTAAAACGCGCTGACGACGCTCATTACAACTAATAATGTTAATAATCATTAAAGAGAGGAATGCCGAAATATTTGTGGGGCTACCAGCCGCAGGGGCAGTGGATTCCAAGATTTCTCTTTTTCTGGCACTCAAATTGCAAAAATTAAAATACTTTGCCAAACTAATTAAAATTGTGTTGCATACTTTGGGACCAGCAGTCAGTCGTCCCTTTTTTTTCCAGTTTCCTAAGCCCTTCCATCGACACAAGGAAATTAGCCGGGCCGCCGAGACTTCGATGTTCGACTTGAGAATCGATTATTGTGGCTGGTTTAATGGGGCCCCAGCCACAGTTAAAAACTTTTGCCATTTTTCTTTCTGTTTCCCTTGGGGATGATCGGCCAGCTCAATTGCAGCTTTCCGGGTCTTCGAGTAAGAACATTGCTGGTTCTTAAAGATGCAGGAATTAAGGTCCGTCCGTGAAAACCCATTATCCATCAGCTGACAACGGGTTTTCACATCACTTGGCTGGCTCAAAAGTTACAGTATTTTGCCGAGCCCACAGCGAGATGTCTCATGCGGATTATGGGGGATATTTCGTAGGCCCGCCAGGCTGTCACACTCGCAGCATGCATTAAATTTTATGGACAGGGGGCCAAAAGGAAAAGGATGGTAAAAGCTGGTAGCAAACATCAAACGCGTTAAGCAACTCGAAAGCTCAGCCGAGTGCATGAAATGCGTCGCTTGCCCCTCACTAGAACGCCATTCAACACGCCACGACTTTTGCAGCCAAAGCAAATCAAAAGGAAATAATGGCGCACTGGCATGAAACGAGGGGTATCGGGAATCGGAGGAGATGACAGTTACACTGGGAAAAATTACTGAAAACTCCTTAGAACTCTCAAGAAGTTTGAAAACAAACAACAAATCAAACAAGTCAAAATATTAAAAAAGAACCTTGGTAATCCACAAATGAATTAAAAATACGAAATATTTTTGTTTAACTAAAGATTATGTGGCTTGGCAAATAAAATATCCATTTGCCGGTAATTTATTTTAAGAACCCACCTTCCACAAGGGTTAAAAAACCTTTAAAATATATGTTTCTTGTGGATTTTATCTTTTAAAGTCGTTAAGAATTTATATTCGGGCTGCTACAGAAATCTCAACGATTTTAAAATCATTTATAAATATGTCTAAAGGTATGCAGTGAAAAGTATATATGGAATCCACTTTACTTCCGTATTCAAAATATATTGTTGCATACTTTTATGCACCTATTTAAAATATATTAAAACTCTAGGGATTTTGTAGGCTCCCCGAATATATATGATTTGTAAAGCTTACCTTTCGGAATACAAATACATCCTGAAATATACTGATGTAGTGGACAGTTTCGCCCAGTGCACCACCCCCATATCCACCCACACACTCGCTGGGTAAATGGCGCGCACGAAGTGCTCACATGCACCTGCCAGAATGCATTCGCTGTGGATTCCCTTGGCGGCCGGGATGGTGCGGAGGAGGCTCTGCTCCTGCTCCTGGCTGGATCCTGCTGCCTGAATGCTGATGCCGATGCCGGCAATTAATTAGGATTATGTGTGTCGTCTGAGCAGCGCCTAAAAGCATGCAACACATGTGAGGCGCTCGTTACGGCGGAGTGTTCCCTTCTCCGGATCTCCGGAGTACGGCGTACGGAGCACGGAGCACGGAATACGGATATGGATACGGACCTTGCGCCCCCATAACCGTAATGGAGCTGCAGCAGCTTGACTTCCGATGCGTGACATCTACATCCACCGGCTGGCTAAATAGTTTGATTAAGCAAATTTATGGCTGCGCGATTTCAGGCGCACTTAAAGGCAGCTAAAAGGAGCAAACAGAACCCAATCAATCATCGGAATCGCAGCTTGCACATTTTTAATGATGATGACGTCAACTGCTCATTAAA